ATGGATGCCAGGATTGGTTTATATTTTTAGGCCTATTTTTGTTGTAATTGATGCAAAATAATAAATTTCTAAAATATTGAAAAATTGTAAATCTTCTATGATGTTCAAAATTCTACCTTTCTGCATTCATCCTTCTTAATTCATACAAATTTTTGTTACTTCAAATCGCATTATTGTGAAAATTTAAATAAAAATTAAAAATTATGCGGTTAAACTTGTTAATTTTACTTATATAAAAAGCACACAAGTTGTTATTTTCAATTTTTTTGATAAAAGTTTGTTTGTATCATCTGTCCTTATATCAAGAACATGCTGACATTCCCCATTGACAATATCTATGAAGTGAAAATATTTTCCCAACGATCTGTTGGAATTTCCGATGAGCAATTACCGTGCCCTTTATTAGCTAACTTGGTTTTTAAATTCATATAAAGCAAAAGTTATTCAAATACTTCTATATGAGAAGAGGAAAACGTTTGCTATGATTTTCCATTCGACATTTAGATACTATTTTATCGTCCATGTTTTATCAAATAACAATACTAGTAATTGTTTTCATTCATAGTCAACTTGAAATAAAGGATACCAAAGATTCTGTCTCTGTGTTTCATATCTGGATATTTTACTGACCATAGACGTTAATTGACGACAAACAATTAAATTATATGGCAAACAAGGTGGCTTTAACTTTTCCATCGTCAACTTTCCTTATGTAGTAATATTTCAGTGTCACTTGCATATGGTGTTCATGTCTCCCAGCTGATTCGGTACGTAAAAGCATGTTCTGGGTACTATCAACTTTTAAACATAGGAAGGCAACTGACAAATAAGTTGATGTTAGGATCTCGTTCAAATTTGGCATATTGCAAATTCTATGATCGTTTTAATTACCTTATTTTGACTGATATTTTAAGTCATTTTTGTATTAAGTTTTACTACAAACTACTCTAGACTATGCAGAACTCCATCGTCTCAGGCCGCGGTCCGGAGTCCGCATCTAGCTCTCTCTTATCCGTGGCTGCTTGATCACAAAAAGTGTCGTTATCTTGAATATTTACGCCTCTGTGTTTTGACGTCATGTTCACCCAATGACAATATTTGTTTCCATCGCAAATGAAATCAACAACTAACATCAACCGTATACAAGAAATGCATGTTTCGTATATTACGATTGGGTATTGAAAGGTGGCGTCAAAGTTCATCATGCGACTATGCTTTACTCGCATTAGTTAATATTTTAATGAGCTGCGAAATATTCTCTTCTCACTCAATCACGGCCAGAATGGGAGAGGATCGTACATTTTGGCCGTGGTTTGAGACGATGGGACTACTCCTACGACTAAATTGTCATCAAAATTATTGTATGCGTTATAGAAACATAATACACCAATGCAGGGTGTACTCTTATTTCAAACATACTAAATGTTTGTGGGCTTGTATGGCAACAATACTCTGTAAATATTACATGGTTAAATCAAAATGTACATAGTGTCCTTGTCGATCAGTTTGAGCAATCACGATATAGTGACTTGTGTAATTCACAAAACGTCTTAATTATAGATCGTTTAAAATTCATTATCTTTTGAAAAACACTTGTTGCATTTACCTTCTAAAACTTTCTATGAAAAAAATATTGTTTTTAGAACTGTAAATGTTAAGCTTCCAGTTGAGACAGGACAATGGCGTAATATTGCACGAGAAAACAAAATTTGTCACTTGGGTTCATGCAGTAAAGAGATTGGAGATCAATTCAAATACTGATCCATACATAAAAAAATTCATCCTTCCCAAATATTATTGTGTTAGTGTAAGGTATACGGCATCCTACTAGCCACTGGATTGACTTGCCAGAGGTCCCGGGTTTCAAATACATTCTGAGGCGCATACATGTCTGTTACATTTGGCGCCCATGTTGGGACCCGGGTATTCTCTGACGGTTGAAAGTGAATGCCCCCAGAATTTCGCCCCACAGGCGCTGGCACTCCAAAACAGATGAGGAATCTCTATCTCTGGAGGGGGGGGGGGACAATTTGGTAGTGTAAGATACATGGCATCCTACTAGCTTGAGCTAGTGGGTTAACCATTTAGCTCGATGAGTAGAGCACTGGACTGACATGTCAGAGGTTTGGGGTTCAAATCCATTCGGAGGCAAAATATGTCTTTGTTACATCATTATTCTCTTACGTTTCAACAATTATTTAATAAACATGATTAAACTTACAAACTTTTGGGGATTTTAATTTGAGAGAGTTGGCTCTCTTGATTTATGACTCTTTCTCTTATTCTTTTCCTTTTCTCATGCATGTTTTATTGTAAATATTTCGTGTTTGTAAAATCCTCTCCACACTATAGAGAATAAATTATTGTCATTGTCGCTCACCTAGTCAATACAGAGGGTAAATGTTGACATGGGTTGCTTACTTCTCCTAGGCACTTGATCCCAACTTTTGGTGTTTCCAGGGGTCTGTGTTTTATACATTGTTCACTTTTTTATAATATAGATTTAAGAGATTGATTAATGATCGTTATCCTCAGATTTTTAATTATGGCTTAATTAGTAAAAAAGAATTCAAAATATAAAAAAAAAATTGCTGTCTCACTATAAACAAAGCTGCAAAACAGAGCGATGGTTGTTTTCAGTTTGTGTTCCTTTCATTATTTTTTGAAAAGTGGATTAATACAGGTATAATTTGAATGAATTATTTGTTGTCAAAGATAAAAATTCTACACGGAAACGTTTATCGATTAGAGTTATCTCTCTTGGCAGTTATTCCTGTAGAATCCAAAATAAAGAAAAACATTTCATAATTCATGTAATTATAGCATACATATGCAAATCTAAATTGAATATTGTTATTTTTATTTAAATTAAGGCAGTAAGAACAATTGTAAGAGGGAAAAACTGACAAAAGATATTCTGGATGTATATTGGATACTGGATCAAATTAAAATTGCATCTGAAATTCCTCATTTGAAATCTTAAGGTCATGCATCAGAAAACACAAAGGAACCTCAATTAAACAATTCAAGTTGGTCTAGTGGTAACTCCACTATCCCCGGAGGAAAAGGTCCCTGGTTCAATGTCTGAAAATCCAACCTTTTACATATGTATTTATTATTTTTTTTAACATATAAAATATTAAAATTTAAAAACACATATTCTCCTTCTTATAATAATATTTACTTTGACAATATTTCTTTTTATAAAAATGAATCGAGGGTCAATTTAATTCTCATGAACCGATTGTGATCAAGAAAATATGCATAATACAATATGTAAGTTGATTTCCGTTTAACAAATTTATTAGAACTCCATAAATATACTTAAAAAAAATCTCCAGGGGAATCCTGCAATTTTTAAAAGGGGGGGGGTAATGCCCCCCCCCCCAACACTCAGACATAGAATCACATACACAGGGAGAGAAAAAAAAATCCCATGTATATTCTCTTTCAAAGGCGCGGATCCAGGATTTGTTTTCGGGGGGGGGGGATTTCTACGTTAACAAATGTCAGAACTCGGATATTTTTGACAAACCATAAAAAAAAGAGAACAACTTGCCCAAACATGAAAAACATATTTCTTAGGAAGGGAATGAGGGTTAATTTAGACACTTTCCATTATAAATTTTCTTCAGATATATGGTCTCCTCTCCATTTTAAAGGGGTCAATGTTTCCTAGGGGAGGAAGGCAAGAACATTTTTCGTTATTTTTACATAGAAATTTAATTACTCTTAATCCCCCACCGTTCTCTCGATCCACGTATGACTTTCCTGCCTTTTTAAAGTTATTTCCATCAGAAGATGTTCCGAAAATGGTACGTATAGCCAAAGTGCTTCCGGTGATATTAAATTGAAACCTTCTTATTATATATATATATAGTCAATTTTGAATAGAACATTTTCTTTCATTCACTCATAAATGAGAATGCTTCGTGACAGCCTCATAAATTTGTAAGCTTCGGGGTGTAATGGCCAGAAGGGGGGAGGGGTTGAAGGTAAAAACGGATGAAAGCAAATAAGGGAGACTCTATCTAGCGAGTAGAATGGAAACGTACATGTATTAGACGCAAAAATATCTATTCCAGAAACATGTTCTCTCTCTCTCTCTCTCTCTCTCTCTCTCTCTCTCTCTCTCTCTCTCTCTCTGCAAAAATAAACTGATAAAGGGGAGTCCAACCCCCGGACCCCCCCCTCTGGATCCGCCAATGATCTGCGAGGTGGGGAGTCAGTGGATTGAGCGCCTTGTTAATCTCGCTTCACGTTCTTCCGAGAAAAGTCACTCAACCAACATAACAGAGGAATATTTGTTATGTTCTTGGGATACATTTCACACGGCAGAGTAGCTTTATACTCGTACAGTCAGGTTCTTAATGAAATGTGAAGATAGCGAATAATGACCATACTCATGAGAACAAATTAATGGGAGGAGAAGGAAAAATCGCTTTATCTACATATTGAATTTTGTGATTATGTATAGCGCCCCCCCCCCCCCCCTGCGAAAGAAAACATAATTTCCGCATATCACAGTAATTTGATCTGTGAACAAAAGATACCTCTATCCCTCTATCTCAAGATCAAATTTTGTTTGGGTGGGGTGGAGAGGGGTCATGGATATGACATTTTTCAGCCGAGTCTCGCTAAATTTTTAACCTTTAGCAAAATTTTTATTGAGGAAATATACCAGTCCCTTCATTTTTTCCATTATATAATTTATGTATTTTCTTTAACTAGAAATCTTCCTATATAAAGATAATCTCTGTATGTGATCCCCCCAAAAGATTTCTCTTTTTCATTTCTTTAGTGGAAGGGAAGTGTCCTTTGCGACATTTTATTTCCTAGATAAAATCTGCAAATATATTTCAATTATTTAATTGCAATTTCTCCAGTTCTCGGGCCTTTCCAACAAACAAAAAAAAAAGAGCTTGCCAGAAAGGCCCTAAAATTATCAACTAAAACCGACATTCACAATGATCGATATAACCTGCACTTGTTGCGGAACTCTTTTGTGTTAGGAGGAATGCCACGTAACTTTCGCCATTTTGGAAATCGACCGGTGTTGTCACAGGTAAACACATGTTACATTTGGACTGAATAAAGCAGAAAATTAACCCAGACAAGTGCTTGGACTTTAGAAAAAGCCATGGATCGCTTATATCTTGTCTGTTCTATGATTTTAATTCTCATATCCACTGTTTTCGGGACTGAATTGACATTTGAACTTCCTGATAGTGAGAAGCAGTGTTTCTTTGAGAAAATAGACAAAGGAGTACAATCTACAATAGAATTTCAGGTAAGATTTCCTCTTGCCATATGGCAGATCTCTAACGTTGAAATAATGATATTTATAACGGTGCATATGTGCTGAATTTAGAAACGGTGAAGCGTTAGTCCGATTTTCCTCTGTTCTGTCCATATTCATTTAACCTGGATCATAAGTATCATTTTAGTTGAAGCACTGTTAAACTCCCACTAGATGAAGCAGAAAATTAATACTGAATTGTGTTAGTTCTCTGTAAACAGATACAATGTCTTCATTAATAAATTTAAGAACTTGGTGAACATTTTTTTTGGGAAATCGATCATCAAACCATATGTTCAACTGTTGCAGTGCTGAAATTACGGTAAATTTTTTCTGAATAGTTATGAAATGAGATTGATTTGATAAGAAAGTGTCATTTATTGATAAGTGTAAAGATGTAAAGAAAAAAAAAACATAAGAATGAAATCAGTTGTCATCAAAAGTTCTGATATCCACTTGATAGCATCCTGCCATTGAACCTCTTGTTAAGGAATGGTATTAAGTTTATATGCTTAACAGCATGTCCATAATTTTCACAAAAAATGGAGAAAATTCAATATATATTGAAGTCATATCATTTTATTTATAGGTCATAACAGGCGGGCAGTATGACGTAGATATGGAACTGACGGCCCCTAATGGTCAGACCCTATACAAGGATGTCAAGAAACAGTACGACAGCTTCACATGGACCCCAGACCAGACCGGAATCTACAAATTCTGCTTCAGTAACGAATTCTCCACATTTTCCCACAAAGTTGTCTACTTTGACTTTCAGGTCGGAGAAGAGAAACCTCTATTTGACCAGGAGAATAAGCAGGCTACAGCAATGACTATGGTAGGTTTGAACTATTTATGGTATTCAGATTTGATCATTATTCTTCAATGTGGGATTGGTTTCTGGCTCCAGGGCCAATAAAAACATAGACGATCTCACTTTTTAGTCTCAGTCTCACTTTCTTAAAAGGAATTCAGGGCAAAAAAGTGAGACTGAGATCTAAATTAAGTGAGCTCAGCTCAGTTTTATGGCACCAGAACCTGGTTGCACATCACTGTAAAAGCAATACACACTTTAGATTTCTAAGGCATTTTGATTTTTAGAGAGTTTTATTAAGCATTAATATGGCAGCTTAGCATGTGAGTTATGTTTTAACTGAATCAAATGATTAAAAAATAACATATGACTAGAAATATTTATAGATTTCCTTTTTTAAGCATGATTTGGATTAACTTTTTTTTAAATATATAATTCTATATAAAACACATCACTACTTGTAGGACAGGACACTGGTGAGTTGTAATATTACCTTAGTAAGAGTGCAACGATAAACCGTTTGATGGTATATCGCGGTATATTTTTCCACGGTTCAATTCACGATACGCTAAACTGATATCGCAGTTCGGTTCGATCGGTCCAGAATTATCTGAATTGTCCGTTTTGTTTCCTTGTTTACAATTTCAAAATGGCTTCCGTGCAAAACATGATGTTGACGATAACGCCTTATCTATTATGTCGGCAGTTAAACTCATCTCCAGCATCTTACAAACCTCAGATTTAACACAGTGAAGGATTTTATCTCATTCCTAATGTGATTAAAAGCTATTATAATAGATGTTAATACAAATGATTAAAGCCCTTTAGATCTAAACTTATTCTATTGTAATACACAATATCTCATCACGCGTGTTTTCGTTGAAAATTCGCTGTCTCATTGACTAAAATGGTTACCGGTATGAGGAAAGGTCCCCATAGTTCCCTGTAAATCTTCGTCTTTGGTTTAGAATAGTCACAACTCAAAGATCTACCTATCCATCCAATTCAAGTTAACAAATTCATATTTTAAATATTATAAAGAAAATATGAACATTTGATATAAACCTGTCAAGTTAAGACTTCTTAACCTTGTCTTGTATTGTGATACGTATCGTATCGTGAACTGAATACCGTGATACGTATCATATCGTGAGGTTGGTGTATCATTGCACCCCTACTTTTTAGAGTATGTAGTTTATTAGGGCTGGGTAATAATACCGATACTTCGGTATATTGCGGTATGTTGACAAAAAATATGGTATTTCAATTTGTTTTTGTAATACCGATATACCAACAAAATGCTTGGACTCAGGAATTCTATCCTAAAATATAAAGAAAAATTGTCAGAAAGGTTTACGATCATGCCAAACATTTAGACAAAAGCTGTTGTATGGGTGTATTTACAGTTGCATAACTTTTATTCAATCTACAAGATATCTTTTATTGGTTATTTATCATAGTTATGTACATTGTACATGTAAAAGGAAGTTAATATAATAAGAAAAAACCATTTAAATTTTTGTTGAAAATATTGCAATACATATCGCAATACAGTCATGACGAGAGTTTATCTTGCTAAAGAAATACTGTTAAAAGATGCGAAAACTATGTTATATTAAACCCTTCATTGGTTAAAAATATTGTAATGTATCGCAATATGAAATCTCTAGCCAATACCCAGCCCTATAGTTTATCATGTTTATATTGTTCCTGTTTCATTAACACACTCTGGTCTGTAACTCTGTGTAAAGACAACCACCAGTCTCCTAGAAATGCTTACTGCCACCGAAGAATTGTAAAGGATATCAAATAATCCAGTATAATTTTTTTTTGGGGGGGGGGGTGAAAAAAAGCAAGTTTAATTTGCAATATTTTGAAATATATGGGATTGTGCTTCATTATACATGTTATATGATGGCATTTTAATGGGTGTCAAAATTTCATCTGTATACCTTTAAATTTAATACTACATGATACTTGAAATTTTGTCATATGTTGAGGAGAGCATTATGGGTAATGCATGTTTATGCCATATGCAGTGCATATGTGATGTTCAGATGTAAATCTATTTATAGTCTTGTATGTGAGGGAACACAACATTTTCAAATAGTTAGACTTGTTGAGTTCAAAAATATATACTCATAATTAGGACTATGGTTCAAAGTCTCATTTGGAGAAATAACTATATTGCTGTCCCCAACAATTTACTAAGCTACAGTTATTGGGTACAGTGCTTCACACAGTAAGAGTTCTGGTCTTCTTAAGGACATACGCAACATACCTTACCTACTGATAATTTTTCAAGATATTCTTAATTTAAGATCATAGTGCCATAAGATGTTCGTAGACATAAAATCAGCATGGCATTACCAGGGGTTTTGAAAAGATATCAGTTGATGAAAATTCTTGTATAATTTAAAGAAAAATATACAAAAATTACTTAACTTATATTCTAGATGTGTTGTTTATCCAGCCCTGTTTTAGAAGAAGTGTACAGCAGCATATATAGACATTAAAATGTAGCACACACTATCTTCAAAATTGAAGTATTGGAACTCTTCAACTCCAGGGAAAAAGACAATAAAGTTCAAACTACGTTGCGTATGTCCTTAACAGTATTAGGAAGCCATTGCTCATTAAGAAGGGCTTCCCAAATAACCAAAAACTGCGGTCCCAGTTGTTCAGTTCGATTTCTGTTCCATTTTTCCAGATTGGTTTGTATATTAGAAACTGTGATACATAAAGATCAAAACTAAAATATACTTCATCCAAGACAAAACACTTTTCACAAAATTATGGGATAATTATTGAAACGAGCAAGAGTAGTCATGTTGTTGCTAATAGTCGTCCAATTAGTCCTAAACACCACCACCAAGACATTAATATGTATAAGACTTGTTCTTAAAGGTGAATTTTATGAAGTTAATAAAGAACTTTCAAGTTTAATTCATAAAATTAAAATTTAGAATAGATGTAAATAACCAAACTGAAAAACCTGAAACTAAACTGAAAAATTTACTGAAGCGACCAGACCCAAAAATCTTGGAACCGTAACAGCCCAATCATTGAGAAAGGTTAGACAATGTGACAAAATTGGCCATTCAGTGTACATGTACTTTGATCTTGGAATAAAGTAACTAAGATTCTTGCAAAGTAAATGGATGGGAAACAGAGCATTCTTTTTAATGATTTGTTTTGCTTGTTTATCTGACAACATATATACTGTGTATATTTAATAAAGAAACAGAAATTGTGATTAACAATTAATTAAGTCTTAGACTAATCAGTTTTAATGCAGTAAAGTGTTTTGGTACATTCTTAATCTGCATCAGATATATCTGTTTAATTGTTTATATGCATTCTACTGTAGTGTGCAAGTCAATGAAGTCATGCTTAATAATTTGTTTATATGATATTCTCCCCGACCTCGATATTATTTGTATGCACTCTAACAAATATACCATATCACTGCCGTTGAGAAAATATATATCTCTACAACATGCTCATGCAATGTTGAGTCTTTTTAATCGTAATTAAATTTGTTGTCAGTTTAGAACATTAATTGTAGAAATAAAAATCATTTATTGATTCAATGTAAATTTTCCAATAAGCAGTACACTAAACACCATGCAATGCTTGCAGTTATCAAGTAAACTTAACATGGAGGAAGTTTTTTGATATGAAATTAACCATGTTAACTGCTTTCTATTAGGGTTGGGATGGTTGTGCAGGTAGTCTGCTGTGATATGATATTCAGTCAAACTTTGTTATCTCAAACGTGATGGGACCGAGAAATAACTTTAAGATATCTGAGTATTCAAGATATTGAGGGTTAATTTCTTAAAGAATAAGTAGATGGGATTTCCAATTCACTTCAACATATCCATGGTATTTGAGATATTTATTTAGTATTTGAGATATTAAAGTTCAATTGTAAATTATGATGTATACATTGGTTGTGAGAATTCATGGTTCTATCTAGTTGATTAAACAATAAATAAGAAAAATATTAATTGCTGATTGTTTCTGATTTCACTACAAATGTATGTTTAGAGTGCATAAAAATATCTTGGATCATGTGAATTTGAAAAATTTGTAAATCCCTAATGTACTTGACTTGTTCATAATTATTAACATAAATTATAAAATGATTGATACTGGACATTGTGTACATGTGTATCACTACACAGATGAGAACCTTGTATCATGAGGCATCGAATCTCGTGTTACCCTTGCATTCAATATACAGTCAAATCTATTTATCTCTTACCTGATGGGACTGAGAAAAAACTTCCAGATATCTGAGTATTTGAGATATTGAGGGTAAAATACCTAAAGAATAAATGGTTGGGACTTCCAAATCAGTTTAACATTCCCATTGAATTCGAGATATCAGTGTTTGAGATATCGAAGTTCAACTGTACATAAAATCCATGCATAAATTATTCTGAGGCATGACAACCTGTGTTATATAGAGTATGGTGTAGAATATTTTTTCAGTTCAATTGTTGATGATTGACTCTTAGTCAAACAGTTAATTAGAGTTTACATTCAGTTCGTATCTTTCACTATTGATCTTTGACCTTTTTGATCTTTGACCTTTTTGATTGCAGAGAACTGATTTCAAGTCTTCACATTTAATTCAGTCTTGTGTGTTTTGTGAAATAATTTTTCGTTTTGCTTGCTAATTATGCTAATCACTAATAACCAAAAAAGTTCTGTTTGCAGTTGTTACTTCATTATTTTAGACTAAATGATTTAAAATAATTTAAAACATGTAAAAGTCAATGAAGATAGAGAAGGCATCATATATTTAGATCACAGAACTCTTAAGGAGGGCTGACCCCTTTTCAGAGATACATGCAACTCTGACAAAGATAAATTCCTTTAAAAATTCTTTTTCAACAATGATTTGTCTAATTTTTCACTGTATTGTAAATTTATATTGACTGAATTTTATTTTAATACCCATCTGTTAGAAAATTGTCATTAATACAGAAAAGTTCCAATTAAGATAGAGCATA